CTATTTTACTCTTGAGAAGGCCTTTCTGTGTATATTTAATATAATTATTAAATTTACAGTAGGTTACAGACTCAGTATATTCACTACTGCTAAACTAGTACTGACTTAATCTTAGCCTACTTTTACAGTAGCCTGTTTGTTGTATTTCTCACTAGACCATGTGAGTGAACCACACAAAAATCATGAGTAATCTTTGGGTTGTGAAAGTTTCTTGAATGAAATCCACTGGGGTGTTCGTTTATTGGTTGCCCACTAATGTCAACAACCTCCACCTTCAAAAACACAGCATTGTTTGGACAAGACCTACCTGTGGTTACTGTACTCTACTGGTAATTCATATAACAAATAAGACACCATGGAACTACAGTATATAATAGTGCTTCTTTTTGAACATTTTTTTAAAAAACACAATAGATATAAGTTTGTCTTATTTGGTACTTTATTGTGATTTTATCCATTGAATGTTATTTTGTATTCATAAAGAAATAAAATAAAAATAAAACAAACATGATTTTTGTCAATGTTAGGCCCAATAAATGTTTTTTATTAGTTTATCACCATAGCGCGCGCATGTCTTCTATGGTACTGAATAGAAGACATTTCTGGTGCTGCCCCTTAGACATGCAAGCGAGGGTTATGAACTAACTTTTCTTTTATTAATTTACATACATTAGGCCTGCCTACTATAGGAATTTTGAGCTAGCAAGTCATGAAATTCGAACTAAGCCTATTGTCTGCAGACTGAGTATTTAATGCATTTATCATGCCAACTTCAAGACTATTTAATCCTCAAGTTATTTGTCTGTGCTCATAGATAAACTATCATGCGAGGTGGTTTGGGAAATTTCACTGAATAAGGGACAGCTGACAACTATTGGTTAAATGTGTCTCGATATGGGTGATTGAGAGACATCCACTGGGTTTTTAGGAGACATCTACTGGGTGACTGAGGGACATTATTGGGTGATTGAGGGACCAGGGCTGGAAATAGTGCGCGACCGGCGGTCGGAGGGATCATGAATGTCCTGAGTCATTTTGGGGGAAAAAATACCAAAAAAAAAAACTGTTGTGTACAGGTAACAGTTGATGCGGTAGGTAATTTGTCAAAATTTGTTTTGCGTCGGTATCCATCTGGAAAGATACTCATGGATCATCAACACAACAGCGCGCTTCAAAAAGTTCAAACTATGCAAAACTTGTAGTTGCCGTAATTTTAAACTACAATAATGGTTGATTGGGGATGCCATCAGCATTTTCAAGGGGCATCATTGCATAATGGATCTGGGTAAGTATACTAAACGTGACTGTGTTAATAGATGGCAGAACAGGTGACAGAGGTTTTCAGGTGACAGAGGCAGTTCTAAAAAGGACACATGTTACTTGCTGTACATCTATTTCTATAAGGTCTTTTCTTTTTTTATCTTGTAACTAATCTTATCTTATTTTACTTTATCTTATCTTGCTAGGCAAAATAGTATTTGGCACGACACCAACAACGGCATCCTACTGGATTAGGGCACCTGGCATTTGGCAAGGACACCTACCTGGGGTTATTTACTGAATGAAAATATAATGTATTGATTATAATATTTTATGGCAATATTTTTAAATTTGGTCATTTGGATAGAATATTTCATCAGAAAAAATTTTGAAAGACTTAACATAATGCCTTTTTTAAACTCAGGGCAATATCAGTATTGGAAATAATGCCTATTGGGATTGACATTGACAACAACTGATATATCTGTCCATCAAATAAATGTGATGCATGAAAATGAACAATTACAAATATAAAAATACAAAGTTGAAACTTTACATATGACATATTTTTTTGTGAAAGAGTGGACCCCCGCCACCAGATTAGCCCATGAACAATAATACCACTTAATATAAATAATATATTATTAAAACATAACAACATTCATACTGTAGATCAACGTAGATCAACTTCAAGTTTGATTAATTGTAAATTAAATTTAGTAGTCCTATAGTTTATTAGTAAGTCTACATTTAATATTATCTTACATACTAATCATTTACATAAAAGTTTGTAGTACACTAACACCAATGCCGTAGCCAGGATTTTCAAATGGTGCAGGATAATAAAAGGGTGGATCCACTTTACGTGTAAATTCAAATAATGTGGACCCATTTTCTTAAAAGTTGATCCATTTTATGCAAAAATATGAAAAACCTCACCCATTTTCTTAAAATGTTACCATTTTTAGGCTAAATATCAGAAATCTGGACCCATTTTTAAAAAGTGGACTCATTTTATGCATAAAATTGTATAATTTGGACCCATTTTTTAAAATGTGGACCCATTCTTTGTGGACCCATTACAAAAATTGTGTTGGACTGTCCCAACAGCTATCTACAGCACTGACCATAGAGAAAATAGAACAGACTAACACTTAAACACTTACCGCTACATGTGGGAATATAGTGGTAGATGTCCAACATAGTTAAATCAATTTTTTTTTTTCAAGACACAATATAACAGAAATTCCTTTCGAAAAAAGCCAATATTGTGAAATTCCACTTAATTTCCAAAATTTGTCAAAAGAAGGAATGAACTGAAAATACTAGAACAGTTGTTGCTCCTTCCTATAGCGATAATACCTCATGAGGTTGTCTGACTACTCAGTAGCTTTCCCTCACTTCAATGACTTTCTAAATGGTGTACAACAACACACACCAATTTGATTGTGAATCACTGATCACCAACCAGCCAATCAGAACTCGTATACAGTGACAGTAATATCTGTGGACTTATATTTATGATGCCATAAAATTATGCAGGCTGTAAAATATCTTGATTGTATGTGTTTAATTTTCCTTTTTTTGACAGTCTCTTTATTATTATCCTTCTCAGTAGTCTACTTTTATCTAAGATTTATTATGAAAATGTCATTGTGGAAATGGAATGTATATTCTTAAATTGTTATGACTACATGATTTATTAATATCTTTAAAAGGGAATTTCTCTGAATACATTATCACAGACCCTATATATATAATGTATATAGGGTCTGTGGTTTTATATATATCACTATTTGTTATGGGATTTGGAATTGAAGAAAGAGAAATCATTTGAAAGTCCTCCAACAAACACTATAGTAAATCATTATTGTTCAGCCTTGAGAGAGGATTTGATCTATTTTTATTTAACAATGTTCATTTTTCTCAAAAGGGCTTTTTTTCATCAACAGAAAAAAAAGGGGAATTTTTTTGTTTAACTAACCTTTTGAGTCATTTATACCTGCTTTTAGAGAAGACAGTAAGCCGGAATTTACAGAAATGGGAATAGAAGGTTATTGTCGTAAATTACTGATTGATACAGTATTTTCTTTTTCAGTTCATTGTCATACTATGGTCACAATATATTTTGAGTAATAGGCATTTTAGTTGTCTGTAGAAAGATGAGAGCTTAAAAGTATACCTTCTTATTTAGACTCACACCAATGTTTTGCCACTGCAACAAAATATACTTTATAAATAAAGTGTTATTGTTTCAATATTTTTTTAAGAAAACGATTGCGATTTCAATTTTTCATTGCTATAGAGAACTTCTTCCCTCTATCTTTTCCGGCCATCTAGAGGTGCCATGAATTTTCTTACCCAGTGCCAACCATGTTGGGACTGAGTTGGTCTAGAACCTCCATCTGTGGAAGTCCCTCCCTTGTCCCTTTTATTTCAAATCATTCCAGGATTCACCACTGCATCTCTCGGAATTGACTTCTTCTAACTTGGGACCCCTGACAATACCTCACCTACAATGCAAAAGAATTGCTCTTCAAGCCAATAAATTATTTTTCATGGGAGTAGCTGCAATAATTTTTTCCATTTCTCTGTGCCTCATTTTTTGGGCAGCATTCCATTAACTACTGTGTTAGGAAGAAGTATTATAAATCTTTGCGCAAGTAAACAAATAATCAAAGGTCCATGGTCAGTGCCGGGCAAGCCGACCCAGCCCCCACCCCCTTCCTATGGAAAGTCAAAAAAAGAAAAGAAAACAAAGAAAAAGAAATAGTAAATCGCACAAAATTTTTGTATGCGCGTACCCGGCTCACCATGGAACTGTTGCCTCTCGATTGGCTCCCCTTTTGGTCCCCCCTTTCAGATATCTATGGATCTGCCCCTGACTCTAACCATTTAAAACTGCATACATCTTAAAAATAACAGTGGGTACTGTATGTGTGGACCATAACACTGTATTCTATTGTCATTGAGTGTGAGCAGTGCATAAATAGTATTATTTTTCATTTTCATTTATTTATTTGACATCAAACGGTCCAGGGGTTGCAGCAGCAACAATGCGCCATAACACGAATGTGTCTGCAACTCCTGTACAAACACAGATTACATTGTTAAAATTAAAATATTTACAAATTCAATAAAAAACAATTCAAAGACCAACTAATAGAAATGTCCAGTAAAATAAAAGCGAATAAAATGCAAGATTCACAAAAAAATAAAAATAAAAATGAGTTAACTGCTGGTTGTACAATCGCTGGTTCGTCAGTTATATCATCAATACTAACTCATCTGAACACACCACTTTTTGTTTGAACATTAATGACCAAGACATATGGCGACAAATCGGTGGAAGGTACTGGAGCTCAGCATACTAATGTCAAGGTACCTGCATGTACATGAAGCTACGCCATTTCAAAATTCGAGGTGTGCACCTTCCTCCTCTCCTTCGTGCCTGTTCATCAATTTCTTTTTTAATAGTGACTTACAAGCGCCTTTGAGACAGTTAATATTGTGAAAGGCGCTATAAAAATGCATTACCACTGACCAAAATAAGTTACTTAGACGTTAACAACCAATTCGTATTTTAGTTACCCATTGATATGTTTTGTACGTAGTTTTGCGCCTTGCATAAAGTTCAGTGGATATAATTCTCTACAGCAACCCCCTTTCAAAATCCTAGATACGCCATTACATTACTTACTGTAGTACACAGTGCTGTAATAATATATTTTCAGACTTACCTGTACCAGGGAGTTGTTATAGTGACTGTACCTGTCAGGTTAACAAAGCTTCATTATTTCTGATGGACACTGAACATCAAGAATGGAGGTGCATCAACCTTTGTCAATCAGAAGTTATCAAAGCATTTGTTGCAGCTCATTACCTCTGCCAAATGCCTAGCTGAAATTCCAATATAAATCATGATGCAGGCCTCCACTGGAACAAACCTAAACCACCTGTGAACAATGAATGGAATAATACTTAAGCAGGGTATTTTATATGTCAAGGCAAGGATCTTTACCATACCAATGAATTAGGTGTGTTGAACCACTTCTCTTTCCTGTCTGTAAGAGGAATACAGGACCTGAACCTAAACACACAGTGTTCTCCCAAAGTCCTTTTAGCTGTTAATTCTACCGGTAAAAATAACCAGGCCAATCAGTAAAAATTTGGTGTTTGTAAAATTTAAAAAAAAAAACAAGTCTGTAAGAGGAACACAGGACCTGAACCTAAACACACAGTGTTCTCCCAAAGTCCTTTTAGCTGTTAATTCTACCGGTAAAAATAACCAGGGCAATCAGTAAAAATTTGGTGTTTGTAAAATTTAAAAAAAAAAAACAAACCACTGATAGGACTTGGCTGGCCTTCTTTCAATGAATGAACATCATACCCTATTTTTAGGTTATGACTATTATACATGTTGTTTTTGAAGTCATTACTTCAAACCCCACTCAAAAGTAGTAACGCCCCAAACTGCGCGCACAGCTGAATTTTTATAGACAAATTTACTAGTACAGTACAGTCTACATACTACCGTCGTTGTGCAATCGAAAGTTCCCTATTGAAAAAAGCACTGCAGTGTCTCCAGAAATTTGCCAACAGAGGATCTTACATTTCCAACAGTGGGCTGCTGACTACAGCCTTGATCAGGATCCCAGAATAAAATTGCAGGCAGGGTTTATAAGGAGACTTCCAGGGCAGGTCTAGAAAAAAAAAAGGGGAACTACAGTCCCCCGTCGGGGAGGCTTTTCCCCTCAGCGAGGAAGTTAGTAGAGATTCATCAGGTAAAAAAATATTTTAAAACGTTTATATCCTATCAAATGCTGGCCTGAATTGCATACTGTAGGCCTGTATAAATTAATCGTTTGGATGCCGATGAGATACAAATAACACCATCCTTAGGTCAAGATGCCCTGTATGACTGTCTACCAGCTTACTATTTTTAAAAGTGTTTTCAAAGTACAAATCTTGCCCTGCGTGTCGGGGGTATGAGAAATCCTAGTGCTGCCACTTGGGTCCAGGTCTGTCTGATGGCGGATAATTGCCCCCTCTGACCCTCTGCTGGCACCACATCTGAGCAACAGTCCCCAGTAATTTGCTCACAAAATCAATACTCACATACCCTAAAACTGTGAATAGAAGCCCAAAGTGCTTAATCTAGAGAAGAAGCCCATCTCAAATTGAAGCCCCCTTCGTTAGTTTGCAAAAGCAGCCTCGAAAAGAAGCCCATGGGCTTCTTTTGTTAGATAGCATGGGCTCTTTTTCAAGATAGTACAGTACATACACTGTACATGAATTTCAAAATAAACAAAACAGATTTAAAACATGATTGGTATATACAGTAGTTTAGGTGATTTAATGCTGGTTAATACACTCTATGGTACATATTGATGCTACAGTGGCCTTATTTATTGTTTTATAGTATTAATTCCCAAAATTTACAGCATTCATTTTGAAAAGAAGCCTCCCTCTTACTTTGCAAAGTAGCCTTCAAAAGAAGCCCAACTAAAGTTCAGAAAAAAAAAAAAAAAGAAGCCCAAGATTTCAATTCAAGGTTTTACGGTAGGGCACTCGTATATCTTCATACAGTACTCAGAGCACTCACAGTTCATGCATTCAGAGGAAAGGATCACAAATTTGATTGGGAATCGGTTTGGTTGTCACAACGCTTTGGAATCGTTCTTTTGTGTTGCCTGTATCTCAGTAACATGCACCATAAAATTACCACATGGGTATTACAATCAGGTTGAATCTCCAAAGAAATCTAGCTCAAAAGAAGTTACTTTGGGTACACAATAGATTAAGTTTGAAAAGAAGTCAAGTAGGTCTTTGGAAAAAAATTTAATAGGAAGTTTATCATCAAGATCGAATAAAAGTTTCATTATTCCATTATCTGTATAAACTTCCTCAATTGTGGTTCAGAATACTAGAATTCATTATTTCCGGTTTTAAAAGTACTGGCATGTTTACTTTAATTGAATTGTTAACTTAGCTAGGTTGAGCTTTTTGAGCTGCTATACAGTTACCTCTGCTTTCTTGATATTCTGTTGATATGACCAATATTGCACCTTATTGCCATAAACTAGAATTCCATCCAAGAATACACCACAAAGAATTTCATTGTCTCCACAGAAAAAAATTGCATAATACAATAATTAAACTAAAATTTTAATTATTAAATTTCCTCTAAATAATTTTTTGACAAGTTCTGTATTTAAAAAAAACAAACAAAACCCTTTGAAGAATTTATAAATCGAGCAAGCAAATGTTTACAGAATAATGTATGAGGACCAGGGGCGGATCCAGAGATGCCCAAAAGTGGGACCGATTGAGATAACACCACCATAGGGTGTCCGGGGAATGCTCCCGCAAAATTTTTGTTTTCTAGACACCCAGAAATAACCTCTGAGGAGTTTTGGGTGATTTTTTTCTTTTTCTTCCTTCCTTTTTTTTTACTTTCCAAATTGGAGGGGGGGCCCCCCTTTTGGGAGTTAAAAAAAGAAAAAAGAAAGAAAAAAAGATAGGAAAAAAAAATGATAGCCCAGAACGCCTCAAATGTTATTTTCGGGCATCTAGAACACAAAAATTTTGCGGGGGCATGCCCCCGGACCCCGTAGGTCGTTGTTGTCTCGATCGGCCCAAATTTCGGACCCCCCTTTTGGACATCTCTGGATCCGCCCCTGCCAATTATAGCCATAGAACAAAACGGCAAAGGACCAAAATCAATGCCAAGAGCAAGCACCATCAGGTGTGGGTCACAGTTTATAATTTTTCCAAATCGTCTTGAAATGGGTCGATCGTCTGTAGGCAAATTGAATATTGCCATGGGCTCTATTCCTGCTTATAATTTTTAATTGCATTTTTTTTAACAACTATTATTATTATATTAATGTTTAATTGCGTTTTATAAAATTTTGTAATACATCCATGACAAATTATTTGTCTCATTTTGTCTGACTGAGTTTCCCCAATCCTTTTTTAAGTTTTATTAATATAATAATTATTGAATTTGCATGTGTTGTTATATTGTTATTAAAACAGGGCTATTATTATTATTAGGCCAAAAAAAAATGTGTTGCCCTTAAATGGGAAAAATACAGATCGTCAGTCGGTCGGATTTTTTTTTTTTTTTGTAATACAATACCTGAAATAGGATAGGTTAGGCCTCCTGAAACCAAAGATCGTATAGCTATGCGGCCGCGTAGCGGCGCTATACGATCTTTGCTGAAACTGCAGCCCCTATTTACTATATAAATTATAATATGCCCTACTCCCTAGGTGTGGCCAGAGCTCGTAGGCACCACAATTTAGAACGATGGCAAGCTTGCCAAACAAAAAATATTCAAAGTAATGACGGAATAATAAATACTAACCAAGTGTATATTTAAATACATTTTAAACAAAAATAAATCAGTTTAAAGAAAGATTTATTTGGCTTCGAAACGTCAAATAATAATACGTGTGTCCGATAAACACGGTCACGCGCGGGCAGGTCGAGCTAAACTATACTGTGGCTATGAAAAATTTTCAAACAAGCGCCCTCTATGAGATACAATCGAAGTAAACTTCGAGAAAAAACAAAGAGAAAAGTATTTCGTTTTGTTTATGGTTGGCCTAAAACCGTGATGGAGCCGAAAATGCCTATCCTAGCTATATGTACCAGTTTTTAAAGTGATTGCTAGACCTAAGCTTGTTTTTTATTTATTGTCCAATATACTGCAAGATTTTTGATTCAAACAACCACTACTAGTTGCAATAGTGTTTTGCTGCAGTGACATCTCGCGCTGCTGGCGGCGAATCGATCTGCGCATGTGTATAAAATGGTATTTACTTCCGAAAACATGCCTGCTGCACGCGGTAGGTTTGTATTTTGTTTTTAAATTTCAACTTTTAAGATGTCTTTCTAGACCTAGTTACATTATCATTATAGGTCTAACATATGTAGGGCTACGGAATGATGTAGGCCGTATAGCCTAGGGCCTAGCCTAAGCTGGCTTGGGCTAGCAAAGGCCCTAACTCTACTATTATACGGCTGGCATAGGCCTACTACTACTACTGTACTACTAGCCAACTAATGGGACAGTCCCACACACTCTTATATACAGTACTGTAATGCCAATGGGTCGACAAAAAATGGGTCCACATTTTTAAAAATGGGTCCAAATTTAATGCAGTTTCATGCATAAATGAGTCCTCATTTTGAAAAATGAGTCCAAATTTCTTATATTTAGCCTAAAATGGGTAAAATTTTATGAAAATGGGTCCAGATTTTTCATATTTTTCCGTGTTTTTTACAGTAGTAAAGAATAGCTTAGGCCCTAGGCCTGATCTGGTCAATGATGACAGCTTAGTGCGAGAGATCCGATGTTGTGTGCATGCATATCGTCTTCGCGCTCGGTACTCAAAATTATGCCTTCTATTTTACCCATTTTACGCGTGCATAATATGGCCCGATTTTGATAAACATGTTCTAAATGTTAATTTCGGAAGTGGTATTTCTCGAATTTGTACTTGAACAAAATAAAAAAAAATAAAAAAAAATGCCGACCCGATTTTTTTTGAAAATTTCGGTTGGTCTCGGAGGGCAACACAACATTTTTTTTTTGGCGACATTATTATTATTATTATTAATGTTTTTCGCGTTTTTTGTTTTGTGTCCCTGCTGAATAATGCAAAAATTGTGTATTTTTTTAAACGGTTAAATTCCTTCGGAACGTGTTTCTAGTAAAAAGTGCAACTTATAAAAACACAGTGGGCGGAGCATACAATGATGATCACCAACGGAAGTTGAAGTTGGCCTTCCTTCCTTTAAGCTGCAGCGCATGCTGCGAAAGAAGAAAACAACACCGCGAAAGTATGAAAAAATTATGGTAAAGCTGGGTTTAAAACCTCAAGCATGTCATCCTTTTGGTTTATTTTTTTTTTCGCCCCAAATTTCCACCAGACGAGCGATCAAACCAACGAAGAGGTCAAATTGGGTCACCGACGGGTCATGATGGGTACATTGGAACACAGCATGATCCATAACAACTCCCTGATCCCTCCATGGTTTATTCAGCACAGACCAGACCAGATTTTTAGGATGTGCATGCTACGCTCATGTTTACGCTATGTTCAAAATAAGCACAGATACGGTCCGGAGCCCAGACAAAAAATCGTAAGTTGCTACGTTTTTTGAACGCTGTGATCACATTGCGCACAGAACACGATTTTGTAATGTTGTTGAACATTTGTTTATAACATAATAATCACCATTCTGATAAAATACTAATCTGGTCTGCCGCCCCCCCCCCCCTATTGTTAATAACTTAATATATTGAGGGCGTTATTCAAATAGAACAGCCATCTTGGATGTACATGTGTTTCATGTTGAAAATAAAGTTCTATAAAAGTTCTAGTTTATATCAGTCTAATTTGCAAAGGAAATAGAATGTCACAAATGTGGAAAGTTAAACCATTTTGCTAAGTTTTGCAAAAGTAAACATGCTAGGCAAGTACGGCAAATTAGCGATAGCCCAGAATACATTTACTGTGAAATTAAATGACAATAACTTACCATCTTGTGATGTATACTGTATAGCAGACACTAAATTTAAAATGGGCACAAAAGCACAAAACCTAAGAACAGTACCTTTTCACGTACGACAAGACGTTGACAATGAGATTCAACGACTATTAGATGAAGATTGAACCGGTGAAAGGACCGACACCTTGGGTATCTCCAATTGTAACTCCCCCCAAAAAACATGGTGGCATCCGCATCTGCATTGACATGCGTGAAGCAAACAAAGCAATCAAGCGAGAAAGATACCCAATGCCAACGATCGAAGAATTGATAACTGAGTTAAATGGTGCAACTCTTTTCAGCACTCTAGATTTAAGCGCTGTATATCACCAATTTGAACTTGATGACGAAAGCAGAGTCATCATGACTTTCACAACCCATAGAGGACTAAAGTTATCCAGAGCTAGGCCTATGTAAGCAACTGAATCTTGCTGCGCACAAATCGAGCGTGAAGCACTGGCCATTAAATTCGGCGTTGAGCGGTTCCAAGTCAGTCTATTTGGCAACCAATTTGAAGTGAACACAGACCACAAACCGTTGGTATCAATATTTAACAACTCTCATAGGAAAGCAAATGCTAAAATTGAGCTATGGGTTCTGAAACTCCAGGAGTATTATTCTATATTCAAACACATAAAGGTGTGAACAACCCAGCAAATTATCTGTCAGTGAATGTGCAGCAATGACAGATAAATATGTACACTACATATGTAACAATGTGATACCAAAAGCTATGACACTGGAACATGTTAGGACCACTACTAAGCGAGATAAAACAATGAATGCTCTCGAAATCGCTATAACGAGCGGAAATTGGAATGATGACAGCATTCACGATTTCAAATCACTTCGAAATGAACTTTCAATCAATAGTCAAAGGTGTTACCTTTACCTTTTACCTTTATCCTAAGAGACACAAGAATTGTATTACCAGTAGCACTCAGGCAACAGGCAATTGACTTGGCACATGCATCGCACCAGGGCATTGTCAAGACCAAACAACTGCTAAGGGAAAATGTTTGGTTCCCAGGAATCGAAAAAGCCGTAGAACAAAAAGTAAAAGGCTGTCTAACTTGCCAAATCACAACACCAGAACCTCTCCAAATGACAAAGCTCCCACAAAATCCATTGCAATCCATTTCAATGGACTTTAAAGGACCCTTTGCAGGAGGGGAGTAATGGTTGTTGTTGACGATTACAGTCGTTATCCAGAAGCGGTAATAGTAAACTCACTGTCTGCCAAAAGCGTAATTCTTAGCTGGATGAAATATTCGCACGTCATGGAATACCAAAAATACTTAGATCAGATAATAGCCCACCTATGAACGGTGACGATTTTGGAAGATTCGCTAATTACCACGTTTCACACATCGAAAATGTACCCCTTTATGGCCACGCGCAGATGGCGATACCGAGAGATTTATTCGTACTTTGGTGAAATCAATTAGAGCTGAAATCTTTCAACGATTAAACTGGAAACAGGAATTGTGTAAATTTCTCTGACAGCATAGAGCGACACCGCATACCACTACCAACAAATCTCCTTTTGAACTAATGTATTGAAGAAAAATGACCACAACACTTCCTGAAGTGGAAAACAAAAGTGATGATCAAGCACTGCCTGAAGGTGATTCTGAGATGAAACAGAAAATCAAAGACAATGCAGATACGTCATTGCATACACGTAAATCTAACTTTAAGGTTGGAGACACTGTCATTCTAAAACAGAAAAAGCAAAATATGCTATCTACTCTGTATGATCTGTCTTTAATGGAAGTTAAACAAAGGAAAGGAAATTGTGTAACAGCAAATGGTGAAAATGGATCGGTGACAAGAAACTGTTCGTTCTTTAAGCGAGTTGATATTAACCGTGACGAATCCCCAGAGAGTGAAATAATTACTCTAGAGATAGACACTACAGACATTGAAACACCAAATAACTTAAATGTTACCAGACGATCTCATAGAAATGTTCGAGCACCTAAGAGACTGATCTAAGAAATGTGAACATTAGAAAAGTTATGTTAATGTGGACACAAAGAAAACAAAGGACAATAGAAATTATTTGTTCTGATTTTTATTTATTAAAGAATTTTGAGTTATAAATATTTACAATAGAAAACAGTTAGTAATAAATACAATCTTGTTTTTAGAACGTATTTGTTGAAACAATTACTATACCTTGGAAATTATAACTAATTGGGGAGGGATGTAATGTTGTTGAACATTTGTTTATAACATAATAATCACCATTCTGATAAAATACTAATCTGGTCTGCCGCCCCCTATTGTTAATATCTTACTATATTGAGAGTGTTATTCAATTAGAACAGCCATCTTGGATGCACATGTGTTTGATGTTGTTGAAAATAAAGTTCTATAAAAGTTCTAGTTTATATCAGTCCAATCTGTTTTATAAACACTACACGGTTGTAACCTGTTTTCCACTAGGCGAATTTATTCGCACAAATCAAAGCGTCGGTTCGCTTCCTGAACTCTGATTGGTTGCGCATTTTTTCACTTTGCAAAAACTTTGATAGAAGTTTCAATTCGCCCAAATAAATTTGCCTAGGGGAAAACAGGCTTAGAGTACATATGCGTTCGATTGGTTCGAACCAACCAAGCTTGTTGCTGATTGGTCCAAGAAAAATAATCCTTCCTTGGGATAGAGAGAGGGTCATTACTCTATTTACTCTAGCCTAGGCCCAGGGCTTATCGAATAATGTTTTGGCGTCTACCTAGGCCTAATGACTGAGCTTTTCTTACTACAATTTCCAAGTGGCTTATCCAGGATTTAAAATAAAAGGAGGGGGTGCTAAATATAAAAATATTAGTCCCAGGCCTAGGCCACATTCACTGAAAAACTAGGGATGCAGCAGCGACTTACTTTCCAAAGAGTATAGGCCGTGGGTCACAGATTCGCGATCGGCGTTGATCACCTTTGGTAACGATAAACTATCTCCAAGAAAAAATACTTAAAAATACATTAAACACAAATGTTGTCCCTCCAAGTCTGGTATGGACAGAAATTATAAATTATTGATTACGCTCATTATCCAATTATAGAATTCTAGGTGAAAAGTCAGGTCACATGCATATAAGCCAATCAGAGCTTTTCAATATTACATCATCTTTTAATGACCCAATCAAATATGCAACCTTTCACAAACTTTTGAAAAACTTTTTTGTGGAAAACCAGATATGGCGGAATGCTGTATGCATTTGAAGCAGTTCTCTGTTTCAAACACAAATTTAGCAAAATTCAAAGCTGTATCATGATAAAAATTTGTAGACAAATGGAGTAAATTATAATGTCGTGAAGGAGATGTTTCAAGAAAGTTTATAGAAAAGTTTGAAATCGTAAAAAATGGTGATGGCAGTTTTCCACCAATTCAACCATCATCAGCACAATTTTACAGAAACTGCTACCAGCATTTCACTAATAACAGAATTAGCCTATACTAAGAGCAGAAAAAAAAACGTGAAAAAAAGAAAAGAAAAGCAAGGTATTATTGATGTTCTATGAAATATTAATTGTAAAAAAAAAAAATTTTTTCCCTATAGTTTAGAACATGGGATCTAGGCCTAGTTAAAGTTCAGGACAGCAGAGCCTAGATAACACTACAAAAATGTGATAGAGATGTAAATATTGTAGGAATAATTTTATTTGGCCTAAAAAAAACCAGGCAAGCCTAGCCAGACTAGACATGGTTTTAAGACTCTTTTGAATAAATTTAATTTACAGTAGGTCTATAGAATAGTCCTATTTTTGTTATTTTCCTTTCATTTCAGTTAAAAATGAGTGTTTTGAGAACTACTGCAATGGATATGTGCACTTCATAAATATTATTGTTATTGTTGTTATTATATTATTTAGATGATGACCTAAGACGAGTATCCAAAGCAGTCATGTTGTCACAGTGTACCAATTCTAATACTCAAGAAAAGCCTTGCTCCGATCTGGAATGAGCAGGTTCAAAACCAATCCAGTTAACCCTCATGTACTTCCAGAAGTCTGTGTTATATGTAATTCAACATCCACAAAAACATGTAAAGTAACTGGTAAGAGAATTCCTGTTCATTTAGTTAGATGTGCCACATATGAAGCTGGACACAAACTTAAAATTTCAGCTAGGCTTAGAGGGGATGATGCCTTAACAACAGGGGGTACATTGCATAGCAATTGAAACACATTATCATAATACTTGTTATAAAAAATATCTATGTTTAAAGTCTAATAGTAATAAATTCTCAAAGGAACATGAGAGATGTACATTGTGCCACCATATGCAAAGGCATTTAATATGTTTGGAAATGATATGTGCAAGAGGATGACACTGTTGAGGAGGTTGAGGGTGTGTCCATGGAATACAGAGCAGCAAGGTTGAAAAAAAGGATTAAGGGGGCTTACCCAAAGATTGTTTTCTTCTAGCCTAATAGAAGAAATCAGAGTGAGATTGTGTATGCAGTAGAATTATCTGCTGAAGATGTATTGGATGGTATCCAACTCAGCTTGGATGACAATATTTCTTCCGATGAATCCAGTGAAGGAGATCTTAGTGGTCCATTAAGACCATCATTTACACCAGTAATTAATTCCTTATACCATGCTGCCTTAACTTTAAAAGAGGCCATTTCAACTGATGTACAAGTCAAGGCTTGGCCACCACATACCGAGCATTTGACTGTTGTTGACTTTGTTTTTAATTTTTTAGCATGTACAGTAGGAGCAAGCACTGATGTCACAACTGATTGTCTTGTAAATGTTCAACATATCTCAAGTTAAATATTCTTTCTGTGGCTCAGGATATAACCTTTATAGGGGCTAGAGGACGGAAACTAATGCCAAAGCATTTAGCTTTAGCTATGACAGTAAGGCACTTTACAGGGTCTGCAAAGTTGATTAGTATACTAAATGGTCTTGGCCATTGTGTATCCCCTCCAGCTGTACTAATGACACTGCACTTGCTGGACAACAGATTGACAGGGGCGATGCATGGATTCTAAATGGAATTTGTGAAGATGTCTTTACCATAGTGGTTTTCGATAACAACGACTTTGGAGAAGAAACTCCCAGTGGGAAAGGTACAACTCACAACACAAATGGTTCATCATTCAGAGGAACTTAGATGTGCCCAACACAGCACCTTTACATCCTCTTCACAAGCAAGCAAGCAAAGAATCGACGTCGATCTCTACCATTACCTTTAACTCACCTTGCTATATTTCATGGAGGTAAGAGAAAAGGTCTTTATCCATTTGGTACTAATGTACCTCTGAATTTTGTATTACACAGTCAAGAATTTTCAATAAATCTAGACATGGCATTATCTAACCAAGCTTCAACCTCAATCTTCTGGTGTTGACCTACCAGGATGGACTATAATAATAATAATAATGACTATATTTGAAAACGGAAAACTTGATCACAAATTAAATGTGTTTTTCACAAGGCCGTTTCTGAAGTACATAATAACAAAATTTAAATTACAAAAACAATTACAAGACAAACAGAAATAAAGAAGTAAAAGAAACCAAATAAAACTGGATTGAATATGTCTCTTAGTAATCATGTTCCATCATTATCAATCTTGAGGTACCTCCCTGTCATTGGTGCTAGCCCCACAGATATGGCAACAGTTGCTACTATTTTAAAATGAAGCCTAGAAATTGCTGATAAACTTAAACTTCAATGTATAGGTTTAGTATTGGACCAGGCAATATACTGCAAAGCACGGCAGTTACGTTGGACAAGTGCTACTTACAGTATATGCAACGAATTGTTATACACCTTGGTGTATTTAATACTACTGGGACACTATTAACTTGTATTGGCAAACGTTTCAGTGATTCAGGGTAAGAGGATATAATGATAGTCAGATTTGGTTGCTACTCGATCTATTTCTGGAATAAAGAATGGTCATCATTACAACTGTAGTGTTAGAGCACATAAAGATTGTTGTAAGTGAGGCTCTTCAGAAACTTCGCTTGGAGTCCTACATTAACTTCATAAAAGAAGAAGAGAGTGTAGAATTGAGAAAATTAATTTCTGATCTGCAGCATTCTTATCCATCATTAACCTTTTATGACATTTTACATAGTCATGCATTTTCCAACTTTACTACAAGCAATTCATTGACAAGAACTCCTCAAACCCAACATTTTGTATTCTGGAGCTACTGCACTACCTCGAAGATACTGTTGGTGAGAGTGGAATTATGCAACAAATTCCTTATGGGTGTACATGGATTGTTGATGCCATGGCCACTATTCAAATGATGGTTAAATTGCCACCAGATTTTGGCATGTTGGCTGAAGTTTTGTTATTAACTGGTAAGTTTAGCTCAAAGTACTGGTTTAAAAACCATCCATTTTCAATCAAGCCCCAGTGTTGTGGTAAAAAGTCCAGATACTGATGTTTTCACATTAACAGTGTCTTGCTTTGATGAATTTTCTGAAGAATGTCATATATATTTCAAGACAGGGAAAGGTAGTTCACTAAGGACCATAGACATTGGCAAGATTTTTAACCATGTAGGTATCAAATATGCAAAGGCTATTGTTGGGCTACATAGTATTACTGGATGTGATTCTGTAGTAAGTGCTTTTGCTACAAAAGGTAAACTTGAACAGCTAAACAAATGATGAATAACGAGGAAATGATTGATGTTTTCCAAACTCTAGGTCAGTCATTTAATGTCACTCCGGATTTATACAAAAGGATAGAAAAACAAATTTGTATATTGTCTAAAAAAAAATTAGCATGGTTCAACCTATTTAAATTAAGTGGTCATCCAAATGAAGAATCTGTGCACCCAAATCAAGATGCCCTATACAAACACATTGGTAGAGCCAACTATCAAGCTGCAATTTGGCGAAGATGTCTTCCTATACCAACTTTTCAATATGTAATATGTTTTGATATGGATTAGAATCCTGTATGAAATACACAGAAAACAAAGAAAAAGAAATCCCCATTGTTAAGGGTCAAAAACACATGTAGTACCTATACTGATATTCACTCATGGATTAAAGGGGAGAAAATTCTAGTTTATTGCTCAAAAGGTGTCAAAATGTAAAGTTGAATGATTTTTCCTATTTTTAGAGTGCTGTAGATGTTGTGATACAATGAAAAAAAAATAGTATCCCCTTAATATGGGTTATTTGACCACAGTGGCACACTCAGAAAGTGTCTCCGTCCCACTAATTTTTTCACGGAAAAGTTTTCCCTTAATAGGGGTGTCCCCTAAATACGAGTGTCCCAAATGATTGGTTCTGCTGTATTATACATTATCATTTGTTTTTATATCTATTTATATTTGTTTATAATAGAGGAATACCGAGGTTAAACTGATAGGCAACATCATACATGGAACTGCATTTGTCTGGGACATACATGGAACTGCTCTGGCATGATTCCAGTTAATTTTCAATAGCTCTGTAATTCCTGCAAACCGGTAGTAATATTCCTCTAATTCGCCCAGCAAATCTCATTATTTTATACACGACACACATTGTCACTAGGTTTAGGCCTAGACTAGGCCTCGGTTATGCTTATTACTATTTTATTTAAATATACAATTTTAATAGATAAGATTAATTTAACACTGACGTAGTAATTTATACTTAAACAATACATTAAATTTAAATATAAATAATATATATAATAACGTTAAAGATGTATTGTCCCTTGCTAATGTCAAAAACTAATAAAAATAATTTTGAAATAAACTTGCTCATATTGCAATAGCATACAAATTATTAACTTATGCATAAAAATTATTGAATTAAAAAAAATGTGTACCCTGATTTTTAAACCCAAAAATTGTAATAAAAATAACACTTCCAGTGACTGGAAGTGTTTCTATCATTTTTCGCTGTAAACTGGTGGGTAGACATTTTTTAAATACACTAATTTCTATGTTTAAGTTGATAACTTTTATCTTATTTCAAAATGGGCAAGTTAATTTCAAAAAATATTTTTATGATTTGTTTGGTATTTAGCATGGGACAATACATCTTTAACGAATAAACAACGATAATTAAAACATGGACACAGTGTCACTACAATAATATTAATATTTTTCAATTTTCAATCTTATAATCAATTTTATATAGCTGGAGTTAGTGTTGACCTAGGCTAATATGGCTAACGACAGGTATGGTTAAAAAGGCTTTTTCTATGTTTGGGATGACCTTTACGAAGCACGAGCTCCAGTAGACCAGACCAGTACCTCATCGGGCCCAAATAGTACATGAGGCGGACTTTGAATTATTTTACATACTATGTTTTAATTGAAGGAAAGTTGGGATTTCGGACGGTTTATTTTTACAGGGGAGAGGAATAACAATTATATTGGTAATTCTTCTAGAATAGGTCGATTTCTGCTAAGAATAATGCTAAATGCTAAAACGGTCAAAATTCTGCTAAAAAGCAGAATTCTGCTAAATCTGGCAACTATGCACGCTGGTCTCTCTCTCTCTCTACCGGTGTCAAACTGATATGACCTAACTGTTGACCAATCATAATAAAGAAAATTTTGAAAATCACATTACGTATCGTGTAATAAAAGTTTACTTTCAAATAGTGCTGAATTGATAATAAAAAAAACACCTTTATGTTGGTATTTTGATAAACTTTTAGTATGTTGTTTTACACATAATTAAGTTTATATTTAGATCATCAAATGATTTGTTGCAATTTTGTCCAATGAAATCCGTATTTCTGGTAGACTAGTTGGGAAACCAAACAGTTGCCGCTGGCATATTTTTTTTCCTGCAGTATACACAACACTGATTTCTACTATAATTTAACTAAATTTAGAATACTAAATATTTAGACAAATACCATAAAATACCATAAATTAAGTAATGTAAATATTTTATGTGTACTCTATGTAATGGAGTATTTAATTTTGTTAAATGAATGAATAACCTTTTCAATAAAATATTCTGTTGTAATTAGTTTGTATTCATTATTATAGAAATATACTGGTTTTACTACAATTCAATCAGAACAGATAAAAAGATAAAATAGTAAGATCTTATTAACCTACATTCATTAATGAATATGACATTTTACATTTAGAGTAAATTAAATAGGGAACTATTTAATTGAAAATAATAATTTTTTAAAGAAGTAGGTCTTATTAGAAATTTAGATAAATTTAAAATACTTAAATATTAGACTATAAATACTAAAAGGATAAAAAACACTATTAAAATGTATTAAGACTTTACTACAAATTTTACATTTGAATTTCCATAAAGCTAATTATTTTTTGTGTTAAATCATTTTAAAAGAGGCAAACTTTAAGCACAGTGATTACTGAAATCTACAATGATTATTAACTTGCATGCATGCTGTAAAAACAGTTGAAGTAAAGGCATATAATAGCAAGTCACAGTGTAAACTATAATATTGTAAAGCTGATAAAAACATAAGTCATCTTATAATTATAACATCCATCTAATCGACCTGCTCATCTCACTCTCTCAGTGGTTATAGATGAGTCTTCTGCGGGAGTCGCATGAGTCTTAGGTAAAATCATTGGCACGAGTCCCATATTTACAGAAGCGGAGAACAGTCTTCTGCAAAAATTTATATCTGCATGTTCTTACTATTATTATTATCTATCTGACCGAAACCCCCACAAGCTTGTGATGCATGTCTGCATGAATGACTGCTCTCATTCGTGCCTTATAGAAGAGTGGGTTTAATGAATTTATATTACTGAATGACTCTGAATAGTCTAACTATCAATACATCTTCTCTGTTCAACTATAGTTGGTGATTTCTGCTCTAATGGATAAAGAAGAAGTACATACACAAAGCGTATAACTATACCATTCAAGGTAAATCTAACGTAAAGTGCTATCAGCATAAACTTGAAATAAATAATCTAGCAAGCTCTTCAGTATTTCGTTTAACTGTATATTATTACAACACACACATTTTTTTTTTCAGTTTAGAATGAATTCTGGTAGCAGGGAATTCCAATTTTGTACAAATTTGCAAGCATAAAATTTTTATATTAGAATTCTTTCCTCCTTAAAGCTACGTAGGCTTTCACCTCTAGAAAATATTTCCCTAGATACCCAGAAATGTGTTTTCTGCAACATTAGGGAAGTATTTTTACAACCAAATATCTGTAATGTTTCTTACAACAATAAATACATGTCAAGCTGTCCACGGTAGGAATGATATATCTGAGGGGTGTAGCTGTTCCAAGAAAGAAAAAAAAACCAGTTTAGATGCAGTAAACTAGAACTAGAATGAAGTTATGTATTAAAATTAACATAAGCAGGGACAGGTCCAGAGGAGCCTCCCTTCCCAACCCCTTTCCTCTTAAAAAATAAGAGAGAAGAATAGAAATGAAAGGAGGAAGTGGGGTTCTTACTTTTATTGACAACAGAAAAAAATACTAAAGTACCTTTTGATTATTTTTTTCTAAAACCCAGTCAAAGTGGACATAATGCGCTTTTCCAAATTAAAATAACAGTCAATGAAGCATGAAAAATCTGATGGTAGGCATTATATCCAGTTTTACCAGTAGAAAGCATGCTTTAGACGTCGGGTATAATGAAAAATAACAAGTTAAAGTGAATTTTCATCAGGATTTTAAGGGTTTAAATTCCATTATATGTCTAAATAACGTAAAAAAAAAACATATATACCTACCTTTTCTAAACACACAACTTCAGGCCATATAAATTTGTATTTCCTTAAATTATACGGAAGCGCTCTCATTTAAATATTGTTAACTATTTTAAATGTAAATTTAGCACATATAATGCATCTAAATTCCAAGCAAATAGCCTATTTAGGTTTGACATGTATGCTTTATGTTGCTTGTTGAATGCTGTTAGTTAATAATAGTTAATAATATTACAGACTAACATTTATATTCTGACCACAATTTGGTCATGGTCATATTGCAATGCATTCTTTTTTTAATAATTGTACTCTGATCAAAAACAAACTCCGGGTATTATGCCCTTCTACCAGCTAGGAAACTAATTAAATATGCACCATTGTCTTCTGTGATTGGTTGATGGCTTACTTTTCAATGCCTAGTGGATATAATGCACTCTTCCAGATTTTTTTGCTTTTGGTGGATGAATATAATGCGTAACTCTAATATTAATTTCATATTCCTGAACACTTTTTGGGGTATATGATAAATTATCATGATAGATTACATCCATAGGATGCCCCTTAGCCAAAAATCTCAAAAATTTCAAAAAGGGATATAATGCGTTTTTTCCGAATCATGGCAGTATTGGTAGACTGGGTCTATTGGGTACTCACAATTATTATGTTATTCTTCTTAACCAGTAATTGTTGTCAATATAATGGCCCTTTGATAATCATGTGTTTACACATTGTTGTACAGGGTTGGTGATGTAGCTGACTCAATACCAATACATTATTACACCTATTTCAATACGGTTTGTCAGAAGTCGATTACATTCTGAAAGTTTACTTGGTAAGTCTTTTGTTTTGTTTATATTTTGATTGATTGATTAATGATATTTATCATTGGTATTTTACACAAAACCATTTAGACTTAAAATACAAAGAAAAATAAAATGAATAGGCCTGTATAGATACTGGACGTAATAGAATGCTGAAAATTGCTACTCTGGCTGAGTTCTGCCCATACTTTCTGATTCTGGCATCAGAATCAAGCTCTGAATAGGAATTAAAAGGTTATGAGCAACTATTTGCCGAGACCAAATATTTTAATGGCAATTAGTTATAGATATATACTATAGACTATAGCCAAATGCAAGATTATTCCAATCAAACATCAAATCACAGATTTATGACAATCCAAGAATGGCCGCAGCTCAAAAATTGACTCCCATACCCTAAATTTGAGGGGTGAAAAAAACTACGTAGATAGTTAGCATTGGAAATGAAACTTACACAACTGGAAGATATGTATCTTGCCCATATATGGTAAAAATATTTTTATCTGAACTCAACCCCTTCAATATAAACTCTCAATGCAAAAATGGTGTATTTTCTATGTCAGCAACTTCTGGTTTCAACCCCCAAACCCTCATGTATATCCTAAACCAACTTTAAAGAAATGACCTTAGTTTCATTCCAACATTCTATTAATTTTTAAGTTTTACATTGAATCTTCTTTTGACTGTTCATAGAAAAAAAAATATTGCAAAATTCTAATAAATAATAATTTAAAAAAAAAATCACTGTGAATTATAACCAGGGAACAGTTAAATTTCACTCTTCCCTGATTATAACACCTCATGATTCTAATCACTAAACACACATTCATTCTTAAACCCAATAACTTTATTTGACATATTTATTTATTTGTTATTTATTTATTTCGGTGTGAAAACAGACTGACATCAATCCAAGAGGGCAACACAGTGACCTTACAAGCATATACAATAAACAGTTAAACAAGAAACATAAAAGGAATGAAAAAATAAGAAAAGCCAACATTAAATATGTTAACAATAGTATTGAATCATTATCATAAGTATTACTATTAGTATTAAATATACATAACCTTTTACATGCAGGTGAATAAATTGGTAATTTTTTCGGTGTCCGGTGGAGATATTCTGTAAAAAGAGCACTTTGTCCCTGCATTTCTAGTGCATCAATTATGTAGATGACATGCTGAACAGGAACCATACGGTACATCAAGGAGGGCTCCAAACAAATGGGTCTAATTAGAGTTCTGGTCAGGGTCTCTGGTAAGGGTTAGCAGGGAGAGTTTTTATGGCTGAGTAAGGCCTAAATTGAGCTTTCAGACCACAATATTAGGGATTGGCAATCAAAATAACATTATTTGGATAGGTATTTTAATAATAATAATAATATAATTTTCCCCCTCCCCCTACCCCAAGATAGGCAACATATTTCCTAGGCTGTAGCCCATATTCAGTCATCTCACCATTTGCTACTTGGCTCTGGACTGTTGAGCCCTTGATAATTTAAATCCCTCATCATTTTTATGGGCAAAACAAAAAATGTATCTGAGGATTTAGACGACACCCAATCGTTTAGAAAATTTGTTAAATCGTTTTTATAATCTGTATCAATGGCAAAGAGGATGTTAGAGAGTCAATCGCAGACATATTCAACTCAGCTCAAATAAACGAACTGGAGATAAAAGATTAGTTGAATAAACGAACCATTGATAAACTACAAGAGACTGTAAAGTTCATGGAATTGTGCCTAAATATATTGCAAATCGACATGAATAAGACGCAATAATATTCGTATTGTAGGAGTAAGCCATGTCAAAATGATAACTGTAAATTATTCATATACAACATTCTTGAAAAGTTTAAATGGTCTACTACTGTAAGTACACCACCTGTAACAGGACGCGCCTACTGTGATGGTAGCAGTTTTGACGGAAAGCCAAGACATATTTTAGTCCCTTCCCTTTTCTTAACACCAAATTCGACATCGTTCTCAAGTTAAGGTAGAGAACTATTATATCATTAAAATTAAATAAATTGATGATCTAACATCAACAGATTTAGAAGAAAAAATAAATGGAAACATGAAGTATTGAACTTGTTTTCCAAAGGAACCAAACTACGTTTCGTAGTGGGCTGGTAAACGGATGTCCTCCAACGGAGCTGTCCTTGACTTCAAACAATAAAAAAAATGCGAACGTTAATAGTATAGTTTGTATTCACTAATTAATATTCATTCATTTCTTTGTATAAATACCCTTAATTAAGAATAAGATTTTCTTTCCGGTTATTTGCCTTTCCGTTTGTACTGATGATGGGTGAGAGAGAACACTCTAAACACGTTTACAATTAAATCCTTAGTTCTTTTCTTAAAATGTGTTGTATTTCTCATCAATTTTCGTCCGTTTGGTTCCAAGGCCTGCCAATTTGTTTGCTTAGAAAGTATGAGAAGATATCCCTATGCTTCATAAAAGCTGAATTGGATTATCATTTATTACACAATTGTAAAACGTTCGGCGTTTTCCCAAAATTCATAATAGTATAGTATCAGAAACAATTATTTTTGGTTTATATTGATGAATACTATGGCTACTATTTATCGATTTTCATAAATTGTAATCCCTCGTTTTTGATGCATTTAACCTCAATCTAGATGACAAAGATGTCTATATTCGCCTGATTATAATGACTTGTGCAATTATAAATGCGGTATGAAAGATTCGTCTTTCAACTTATCACAATGCTAGAAATTTAGTTTAATATTTTGACCAAGTCACTGATTAACTTAGTAGTATTAACCTATATTTTCAGCTCATTTTTTTTTTTTTTTAGAAACGCTTTAAAAAAATTCCAATAAACTAATGTTTTCTTTCTACAACATCGCTGGATATAATATGCTTCACTTCTCAAAGTCAACGAGATCGGATTTTGGAGTCGCAATTTACTTAAATGGACAATTTCATCACTCCGATTGAAATGATCTTTCTAGGTGTATTTCAAATTAATCTGAATCAGTATTTACTGAAATATCATCCGAACTTAAAACATAATATCCTAGGTGTTATTTATCGCTTACCCGAAACATCTATTAAAATATTAAACCAAAATATGTCAAATTTATCAGGTAATAATAACATAGAAAATAAGACTGTTTACCTCACTTATGATTTTAGTACCTTCAATGTTTGTATTAAATATGGTATCATACCCAAGGCATTTCAAAAGGGAATACTGGTTGCAATCTTAAACAAGAAATATTTACTATAAAAAAATACAAAACAAGTTACGACTAGTTTGGATTTCCAAACTTAATACAATAATTTATACTTGACAATGACCTATATCATCTTCAATGCATTTCTTTTATGACATGACACATAAACATAAAAATAACCCACAGGTAGAATTGATTTATGACTGGTGTAACAATAGCCACGAAGTTATTTACATTGCGGTCACAGGATTAAAATAATAAAAAAACATACTAAACAGTACATACATTAGATATTAATACATACATTAGAAATGTAGAAAATAATACATACATTATACATACATACATTATACATACATAAATTATACATACATAAATTATACATACATAATTAATACATACATTAGAAATGTAGAAAGTGTGATATATGATTTGATGTAGGCCAAGGCCTACTATATAGACTTCCTTTAGCTTGTGTTTTTACCATTGTTGTTCTTTTTAATATTTTATATTATTTATTTGTATACAATTTTTAAAATACATATAATTTAACCTTATTAGGACAAAACTTGCATATTACGCTACAGTCTGGGATCCTACCAAAACAAGATAGCTCTCAAGTTTAAAAAAATCCAGATGGGCTGCTAGATTTGTGCGAAATGACTACCGCATGTGCGGCAGTGTCATTTCCATACTTAACATCCTTGGCTGGTCATCTCTTGAAAACCGCTGCAGACAGCTCCGAATCATTCTTCTTCATAAAATTATAAATAAACTTGTTTCCATACCATCTGCCGACTTAAATCACTGTTCTGGCTCTACCCGAGCAGCTTATCTCAAGAAATTCTGTTCCCTTACAGCAAACACTGACAATTACTTATTCTCTTTCTTCCCAAGAACGTTCATCGAATACACCAAACTTGACCCATCCCTTACTAACTTGCCTTTCAATGAACTTGCCTGTTACAAAATAAAGTAGAAGCTGAACTTCTTCTTGACTCTCATCTTGTACACTGAAAATAATAGTACTATTTTTACTACATGGCTAAAAAATCACAAGTATTGTCATTACTACAACTGACAGGGCCATCGTTAAATTAAGTCAGATTCCAAAATATAGCATCATATTGAATACGTCATCTGACATCATGGGAACCTAAACTTTAATTACAATTATTTGTTTACTAGGCCTAATTCGAAATTGTTTTAAGACTTTAACCTAATACATACTGATTAATAATAGCTGAGATTTTATGCACATTTCAGAATTAATAATCGTTTTTAGTATCTTACTGAATATTTATTGTCTACTAAATGAAATATGAATTATATATGAATCTTTAGAAATACAATTTCTACAATATTAATCTTGTTTTTATATAGATAAATGTTCGATAAATACTATGATAAAACAAACGAAATTCAGCGTGTCTATTTTCATTCCAATCAATGGCGTTTGTAAACATGTGCACTTTCGACGGCAAAGCTGGCCTGCCTGCTTAGGTCCTAGCCAACCAATAATAATGAACAAATGTATTATTTTTTTTAAATATAGGCCTATGGCGCATCCTGTACATGCACTTCAACTTTTACAACAAAAGCCAGGCCTACGTCCTACTGTACTTAAGCCTAGGCCTACACTAGTTTGATGTCGTCGGGGTAATTCTGTCTCTAAATGCAGCGTGGCCACTAGGAAAAATAAAAATTCAAGATTGGGTCTAAAAAATCCCAAGATTACTTTTAAGAACCCAAGATTCGCAAAATATTAGTATATATACATAAACTTCATTTAAAAGTCCTTCA